AATGTGGGATTTCGACGTCTTCTTGGTGTGTTGGAGCCGAGGTATGAGATTCCTAGCCGCCGCCACATTACAGAAACAACGTTACCTAAACTACACGATTTTGTGAAGAGACACATTCAGAACCTTCTGCYAGACGTTTCGGGCTGTTTGTTTGTTAAAAAGATTCTGTAAGAATTCAAATGTAAAACTTTTTATTTTTTTGTACAAGTTTGGACATACTTTACAGATCTATACTATCATTTGCTCAGTTATTGTTTTAATTTTGTACTGTTAATTTACATTTAGGTGAAAGATATGGCAAAGTTGTTTAAGATTCAGAAAGTGTTCAAATGTAAAAAAAAACTATTTGGTTAGGTTTATTTATTAATTGTTTTGTACATGCTGTCATAGTATGGTTATATGACAGTAAAATGGTTTTAAACCAACAGTAATGTACTTTGTTTATTTATGTTTGAAGTGCCTAATGAAATAAAAAACAGTTTAAGTTAATTATAAGGATTTTTAAGGATATTTATTAGTACTTGTATCGGTACTTGGTATCGGCAAGTACTTTAATGTAAGRACTTGTACTCGTACTCGGTTTTCAAAAATCTGGTATCGGTGCATCCCTAATTAGAAGAGMTTGTAAAGTGGGGTAATGAGGGGTCTCTATGCATGTTCTCTGGGGCTAATAATGAAAGTTATGGAAGATGCTTGACTCCTCCTTCAGATGTCTTTAAAACAAATGGAAACACTGCTGAATGCAAAGCCAGTACTGGGAAATGTAGGATTATAGGTCTGTGGATCATAAGTACTGGAGAACATATYTATGGACCCATTAGCAGTCTAAACAGTCTTTAGACAGCAGAGTCTCAGTTTACTAAACACAAGACTTAATCAGAAAATCCAGACTCTAAAAACAGACTTTGGATTCCTCAGATTACTCACCATGGCCTCAAAGTCCACCTCCTCGAGCACCAAAGCTTCAGAGATCTCTGCAGCCTGCTGGAAATGAACGTTGTCTAGAAAACACACAGAATAACATATAAAGCTCTTGGTATACAGGTCTGATAATAAACATTGTACAACAAGACCAAACAAAAAGCTTATGTAAGTTGTGCTGGTGAGATGAGTGGAAATGTTGATATTTGTCATAAATGAAATTTGCGTAAAAATTAAATTCTGGACTTTGGTAAATAAACATTTAAGGCAGAGCTTTCAGTTATCAAGCTCCTCTCTTGTGGAACCAACTTCCAGTTTCTGTCCATGAAGCTGACACTCTGTCTACTTTTAAGATTAGACTGAAGACTTTCCTTTTTGATAAATCCTATAGTTAGACTTAGGTTTCCTGAGTTATTCTTCATTTCTGCTGCTACAGTGGGGAAAATAAGTATTTAGTCAGTCACCAATTGTGCAAGTTCTCCCACTTAAAAAGATGAGAGAGGCCTATAA